CTGACCCCGCTTGTCATTGCGTAATACGAAGTTTTGAAAACACATCTAGAAGACTGCCCTATATTAAGTCAACTGAATTCGCAAGAAAATCCTAATATTTCATGTATACATGTATTTGTGTAGCTTTTTTCTTACACTTTTTAAAGGGTAAATTTTATTCGAGGCACGATAGAGTTTTCAAATACAAATGAAATATATGGGTAACTTTTGTTCGTCACAGTCTTATAATTATAGCTTTGATAAATTAGCATCCTTTCAGTAGTTTTTGTGTCCGAGATAATTAGGCAATGACTTTTGTTTTTAGATAGAACCGTAATAAACTTTGCAAAATGGCATCGCATCTGCCTTCAACAACTGTCTTTTACATAAACTTTAAGAGGACGTGATTTTTATTTCCATTCCGAAAATACATCTTTTTTTAATATAGTATCATCAACAGATACTAGAAATTCAAATAATCAAAAGACACGTAAAATTTCAATAAACTGTATAGGTATTATTGTATAAAAATTCCACAAAACGTCTCAAATGAAACATTTAAAGGCCGAGGTTTTCAACCGGTCGGTTTTCCTCAGGCAAGTTTGGTGTGGGGTGGAGCTTAATTGAAACGGCTGTGAAGCCCCGAGGGAACCAAGCTGGCTTGTGTATACCTACCTATATACACAGGATGTTACCTGTATATTACCTGTAAATGTTTTCCTAAGACATAGTTTAACTTCGCGCGTTGGTCAATCGAAATGTTGATCGTCAAATTTATGAAATAAAACATGCCAAATTTTTTATGTAGACTGATTCCTTAGTTCAATTCTTTTTTAAAATATGTTTGAATAAAGGAGATAATTTTAGTTTAATTTTGTGCGTTAATAAATTTCATGCAGTTCTGCAACAAGGATACGCAGTCCTCGAATCATGTTAACTGAATTTTCGGAAATGGAGAAATTTGGGGATCGACGCTTTCCAAGCATGGAGTATCTCGTAATTAGGGAATACCAAATTAGGAACATCTCATGATAAGCGTTTGTCACACATCCAACAGCGAAGAAACCGCCGAGAGTGTGTTGGTTTAACAATAATTATTTTATTTCCTAAGATGGTAAGGTGTAATGTGAAACCATTATCCATAAATATTTTCCCCCAGATTTTTTTTACTTTTAATAAATTTTATTGAAATTTTACATTTACACAACGTAAAAAAAGGCCGTGTGTACGAGCTGACTTTTTGCTTTTGTTTCATGTTAAGCAAACTTTATGTACGAATTGACTTCTGTTGTTTGCATACGAATTGACTCCTTATATACGAATCAGTTTTTGTACGAATTAACATTAAGTCGGCGTAATTTAATGAATATTCATGAGGTGAGAAATATTATAACGGCAAATATCAGGAATTAAACTTTGCGCCCATCAACAAAATGTCATTGAAATAACTTGAGAACCATGTACATTTTATTTTCGAACATCGAAACGACCCCACTTTCATTATTTTGTCACTGCAAAAATCGCCGCTAGGGTCCCCGTGATTTTACACTGTTGTTTATTCATCGCCCAGACCAGCAGCAATAGCCTGTGGCTATAAATAGCCACCGTCTAAAAATAGTAGAGGGCCTAAAATACTGCCTTGCGGTACACCACATTTTACTGTATTTTACTGATGGGCAACCTACCCTAGATTAGATCAATTTGTTTTAACTTTTGATAAGTAGGACCAGTAAGGGGCTATAGTAGAGGTCTCAAATTATACCTTTAGGATTATATTTTTTTTATCAATCTTTTTTTTAGTTTTTTCATGCTAAAGAAGGCTGCATTACCTAAACTGTAAATTTGATGTAGATTAAAATCAAAATTCTGGTCTCTTTCTTATTTAATATCATGATAATAATTTAATTGATTTTGTTTTACAATCATCAGTGTGGAAGGCTCAAGTGAGCTTTTCTGATCAAAAGTTGTCCATTGTCTGTCATTGTCATATATTTTTAGCTCACCTCAACGAAGTTGGGGGAGCCTATGTAATACCCTCAGCGTCGGTGTTGGCGTCCCAGGTTAAGGTTTTTGGAGCAGTTTTCTTTTCAAGTACTTCTATGGCCTATATTAGTCAGAGATGCATGGAGGATGCTTCTAGTGTGTTTTATTGTACCAGTCAAGGTTTCAGATGCTGCAATTTAAGCTATTAAGAATGACCAGGTTAATGTTTTTGGAGCAGGTTAAAGTTTTTGGAGCAGGTCTCATTTCCAAGTACATTGTAACTATAAGCCCTATATTGACCAAACTTGCATGGATGATACATCTAAGGATGTACACTACTGGACTTGCTTCGGATGCTGGATCTGACCTATATTTTATGGATGAGTGACCAGGTTAAAGTTTTTGGAGCAGATGTCATTTCCAAGTATCTATAAACCCTATATTGACCAAACTTGCATGGATGATACATCTAAGGATGTACACTACTGGACTTGCTTCGGATGATGGATCTGACCTTCATTTTCCGGATGAGTGACCAGGTTAAAGTTTTTGGAGCAGATGTCATTTCCAAGTAACTATAAGGCCTATCTGAACCAAACTTGCATGGATGATGCATCAAGGGATGAACAATCTCAAAACTTGCTTCGGATGCTGGATTTGACTTACATTTTCTGGATGAGTGACTAGTTTTAAGTTTTCAGATAAGTCTATTCCCAAGTAACTGCAAGCCCTATCAGACCAAAATTGCATAAATGTTGCATCTAGGGATGCACACTCCTAGATTATTACTTAAGTGTGGGACTTTGCCTTACTTAAAGACAACATTCGTTGAGGTGAGCTCTGTAATCTCTGATTACCTATGTTTTACAGTTTCATCTTCTTTTCCAAAAAGCGCTCGCTCCATGATCGGGAGGTCGTGGGTTCGAGCCTCGGCCACGACTGACCTAAGTCGATAAAAAATAGGTAGCAACTGTTCCTTCGCCAAGCGCTCAGCACTTTGAAGTGAAAGTTGCAGGTCCTTCGGATGAGACCTTAAAAATGGAGGCCCTGTGTCACGGCAATCAATCAATCTTCTCCAAAACCACAGGGCCAATTTCAGCCAAACGTGGCACAAAGTATTTTTGGGTAAAAAGCATTCACATTTGTTCAAAGGAAGGGCCCACCCTCTTCCAAGTGGAGGCATTAAAGATATAGTGAAAATTCTATGGGGCCATTTAAAAATCTTATTTTTAAGAACCACTGGGTTAGAAAAGATGAAACTTATGTGAAAGCTTCCTGACATAGTGTAGATTCAAATCATGACCCCTTGGGATAGGATGGGGCCATTAAACTGGCAATCAAAATCTTAATTGGGAATATACAGGAAAAATCTTTAAACCCTTTTTCCCAGGATCAGCAAAGCCATGATTAGTCATACTAGTATTCATATTTATATGGAAGCATCCTCAAGAAGTGTAGATTGTAGTTTGTTCAAATAATGTCCTTCTGGGGTAGGGTTGTGCCATAATTGGCAATCGAAGCTTACATAGGAAAAATCTTTAAAAATCTTGTAAAGAACAGCAAAGCCATGATGGATCATTTTTATATGGCAGCATCCTTACGTAGTGTAGATTCAAATATGTGTAAATCATGACCCCCAGGGGTAGAGTTGCAGTCACAGTGAGCAATCAACATATAAAAGTTTTTTTTTTCCGAGGATCAACAAAGCCATAATTAGTCATATTCATATTTATATGAAGCATCCTCAGGTAGTGTAGATATCGTAGTGATTTTTGTTTGTTCAAATGATAACCCTCTGGAACAGGGTGGCTTTACAATGTGTGATCAAAGTTTCATATAGGAATACATTGGAAAATCTTTAAAAATCTTCTCAAGAACAGGAAAGCCATGATTGGTTATATATATATTTTTTGGCAGCATCCTTAGTTATAATTAGTGTAGATTCAAATTTGTTTAAATCATGACCCCCAGGGGTAGTTGGAGCCACAATAGGCAATCAAATCTTTAGAAAAAAATTTTTAAAATCTTCTCAAGAATAGCAAAGCCATCGTTAGTCATAGTTAATGTAAGCCTCCTCAGGTAGTGTACTGTGTATACTCGCCTATAAGTCAGTCCGCCTATAAGTCGGTTGTAATTTTTGAGGCTATTCTGGAGGTATTTGCCATTGCCCTGCTTATAAGTTGGTATAACTTTTTGCCAGAATCGGCTGACAATTTCAAATCAATGCTCTGATGTTTTAACTTGGTTTTTTAATTAATATGTGTCAAAAATAAGCCGATATTCAATTTTAAATCATTGAAAAAATAAGTAATGCACATTTGAAAAAAAAAAAAGAAACTCATTAAAATAAGTTAATACTTGTACTTTATGCATAGTTTTAGAATACATGAATGATATAAAATATCCATACTTTAGTCAACGATAATCGTCGGAAATGTTTATCAAACGCTACATTTTGCCGTCCAAAACCAATCTTTTTATGACTCGCCTATAAGTCGGACATAGAGTTGGGGACCAAAATTTAACTCCCAAAAAAACCAACTTATAGGCGAGTATATACGGTAGATTCAAGTTTGTTCAAATCAATAGCCTGGGGGTTGAGTTGGGCCACAATGGGCAGTCAAATTTTTACATAGATATTTAAAGAAAGAATCTTTAAAAATCTTCTGAAAAACACCAAAACCATGATTGGTCATATTTATATGGAATCATCTTCAGATAATGTAAGTTCAAGTGTTTTTTTTTTTTTTTTTTTTTTTTTTTTTTTTTTTTTTAATTTCTTTGGGTTTTTTTTCCTTCAAATTATGACCCCTTAGGTAGGTTTGGGCCACAATATGTGATTTAAGTTTTACATTTTGATATATAGGAAAACGAGGCTGCTGCTGAAGAACAGAAAGGCCATTAATTGAGCATTGTGGTCAATGGGCCTCTTGTTTATTTATATGGCAGCATAAATAATGTGTCTCTCATGCATATGAGCAATGGACACATTTATGGTGGTTAAAATATAAATGATTATAAGATATTTTAAATTTCAGGGGTTGACATGTTCCAACTGGCTCATGGTTATTCTAGCAACCAACAACTCAGGGAATGTAGTTGGATCTGTTATGCCTCATCTAAGAAGGAAAGAAGTCCAGCGTTTTCATCGCAGACCAGTGGTAAATTTCTAAATAATTTTGGACCTTGCAGTTTTCTCACCTTTTATCATTATGGTTAATACATACTAGTTCAAAGCTCTCTGTTAAAAAAAAAAAAAAAAAATATATATATATATATATATATATATATATATATATATATATATATATATATATATATATATATATATATATATATATATATATAAATTGAATACATTTACTGTCTACAGTAGTATCTTGCTCATTCAATTCAAATTATGCACACAATTTAATAAATTTACCAATAAAAATTACCAAGCATGACTTCATCTTGGTGAGACATGACACTCTGCAATTTGGTTGTTTGAAAATAAAAATAAACATATTATATTGTACTACATGTATATTATACCAGTACTGTCAGTAGTTTGATAGGATTTGTCGAGAAACATTTGATTAAAAAAAAAAACATTACCCTCTGAATGATGAAATCACGCCCTCCAATGTGATAAATATAGCAATTATCAACAATCTTCAGTAACTGGTAATACTTTTTGGGGGATCAATACTATACATTTATTGACTTTGTTCAAAGGCAACATGTTTTGTCGGATCCTACATGTAGTTACCAAACTCTTTGTGTAAGGCCAAAGCCAAACAGTTTGGTTCAAGGAGTCAACAAAATGCATTTGACCTAGAACACAGTCAATAAGTGTTTTGTTATACCTTTTATTTTATTTTTTCTTTTTGACATACACGAATCTTGTGTGGGCTTCCATGATGTAAATTCCCTTACTGACAATGTTGAACACAAATGAATTCAAATTAGATTTAGCTGATCCCACCCACAGTGTGACGTAAGCAGTTCAGTATCTGATCGACAGGTCTAATATCTCACTCTGCGGTAAAAATTTGATTTTTTATTTGGACCTCTCAGTAAAACATTGGAAATGTTACACTTTTTTTAGTACAGATTTATATTGCAAACAATTTTAAAAGGCATATTAAAATGAATTAGCCACATGAGGAGTGTAATATTCACTGAGTCTGAAGGGCAGGGAGAATTGTGCTTCAAGGGTGCATGGCTAATTCATCATATTGACTGAAAAAAATAGCAATTATAATTGTTTTATTTTATGATATGGCACAAACTCATTAAGCAAACCCTGCCATCTATCTTGTTTAAATTTGCTGAAGTCTTAGCAAAACAGTGAGGTAAACATGTTAAAATAAACATAACCAGTTGTGTTAATTTGGAATTTCTTAGTCATTCTACTTCTGGTGTGATGCAGAAAAAATAAATGTCAGGCATGTAACATCGATTTTGAGAGGGGGAGCATTCTAAGGAAAAAAATGTTCAATTGTTTTCTTGGGGTGAAAATGTAACCCTCAACTACATGCAGTATTTATATAATATTAAATGAATTTTGTAACTATAAGTCCATCTTTGAAAAATTGTTTGGTTGCCCTCTCATGATTGACTGGCTAAAAATGGCCCAACTCAAAACTTTTTAACCTCGTTTTGAGCCAGACGAGAAAAAACTAACAAGGCACAGACATACAGAGTTAATATGTATGTACAGATGAACGAACATAAACACCATATACCATAAAATTATAAAAACACCTGTGAAGATCTATAGGTTTACACACAAATAAGTCATAAAAGTATGATAAATTGCTTTTTTTTTACATCCTTAAAAGTACATACTTAGCTAATTGCCCTTGCTTAATTCTATCTCTTGTGACAAAAGTGCTTGAGGCATTTCCTTGGCCATTAAGACTTTATGATTAAACACAGATGTCAGAAATTAAATATTAATAGTTTTATGCTCAAAAAGCTCAAGTGAGCTTTTCTGATCAAAATTTGTCCAATGTCTGTCGGTGTCTGTCATAGGCTTTTCACATTTTCATCTTCTTATCTAGAACCACTGGTCGTATTTCAACCAAATTTGGCACAGAGTATTCTTGGGTGAAGGGGATTCAAGTTTCTTCAAATGAAGGGATTCTTCCATTGGAACACCCCTACTAATGTTATTGTGATTTAAAGCTATATATGATGTATCTGAGCTAAAAAATAAAATTACGAGATTGAGTGTAGATAAACTTGATATATGTTTTTTACGTTCAAATTTAAATTTTCACCAATTTTGAACTTGAATAACCCCATGTTTCCATAGTTAAATTGAATTTAAACTGTGCTGTTAATTAAATGCGTAGTTGGTAAATAAATTGGTTATTCTTTTAAATTTTTAATATCTTGAAACTTGAATGATTTAAATTGTGTAATTTACAGGAAAGTCCTATCTTTTTATTTATAAAGTAATGAAACAAATAAAATCAAAGATCTTTTTAATTTTAGTCAGTCTGGACTTATAAAAAATATGCCATGTATGACTTTAAATTCAAGACACATGTTGTAGGTTGACCCATTCAAAGGTTATAGGGTAGAATAAAATTGGTAGTAAACAGGAAATTGCTATAGTCTGTTTCCTCTAAAAACAACTAGTTTTAATTGTGACCCCAAGCGGTAGAGTTGAAGCCACAATGGGCAATCAAATTTTTAGAAAAAAAATTTAATATCTTCTTCCAAGAACAGCAAAGCCATGATTAGTTATATGGATGTGGAAACATCCTCACGTTGTGTTCAAATCATTACCCCGGGAGTAGGTTGGGCCATGGTGGGGAATCAAAGTTTTAAGTAGGAATACATAGAAACAATCTTTATCTTCTCAAGAACAGCAAAGTGATAATTAATCATATTTGTATAGTAGCATCCTCAGTAGTGTAGTTTCAAGTTTGTTAAATTCATATTCCACAGGGATAGGATGGGGCCACAATGGGGGATCAAAGTGTTTTACATAGGAATACTGTAAACCAACTATTATTCGCATCATTTTTTTTTTTGAGATTTGTCAGTTTGAAATCAATCCACGATGATTAATTTTCGCAACTGAGGAAACATTCTCTACAAATACAAAGCAAAATAAATGGATCATGGCGATTAATATTCGCAAAACTCGGGGAAATTTCTCGCACGCGAATAAAAGTTGGTTTAAAGTACATAGGGTAAATCTTCTCAAGAACAGCAAAGCCATGATAAGTTTATATAGAAGCAGGTAGTGTAGATTCAAGTTTGTTCAAACCATGACTCCAAAGGGGTAGGATGGGGCCACAATGGGGGATCAAAGTTTTACATATGATTGTATAAGAAAAAATCTTTGAAAATCTCAAGAACAGCAAAGCCATGATTAGTCATAATTATATAGAAGCGTATTCAGGTAGCAGAGATTCCAGTTTGTTCAATTTATGAGCCCTGGGATAGGATATAAGACCACAAATGGCAAACAAGTTTTTACAGAGGTACATGTATATATAGGGAAAATCTTTTAAAAATCTCCTCAAGAACAGCAAACATATAATAAGTCATATTTATATTTATATCTTTGTTCAAATCATGACCCCTTGGGGTGGAGTGGGGACACAATATGTGATCAAAGTCTTACATGAAAATAGATATGGAAAGAATCTTTGTAACATTAAGGTAATACTATGTGACATAGTTTTAAGGTCACATGATTCATATAATTAACATTTTGTGGTTCAGTTTTGCCTGTCAGTGTGCGTTACTCAGAAGTTATTCGTGACAATTCTATCGTGTCATATAATATCATATCACATATCCTATCAGTTTAACATTTATCAAATCATATTTTCTATTTATTGCATTTATCCAGTATACCATTTACTGGTTTTGCTTTTATCAGGGTTTTCTGGTTAACATGTGAGAGGCATCCTGTTTTTGGTTTTTCACAAAAATGATCAAGGTACAGTGAAACTTGTCTAATCCAGATGTTAGGTATTCCAAAATCTTGCCTAATACGATATCAATTTGAATTCCCCTTTCAATAAATTCATTTTATACCCCACGCTTGAAAAGTGGGGTGCCTGTAGTTAATATAATTGGGGTGTCCATCCTTCTGTAAATATTTCTGTAAGTTCATAACACCTGGTGTACCCTTCTCTTATCTGCAACTCTTCCTATACCACTGAATATCATTTTATTGGACTTTCACAAAAGTTTTGTTACATAGCATCATTGGCCACTTCCAATTTTCTATACCTCCACTCCTAAGGAGAGGGGGTATATTGTTTTACCCTTGTGTGTCTTTGTCTATTCATAACAAATTTTTCAATTGTCACAGTTTTTCAGCAACTACTCATCACAGATGCTTGAAGTTTTAGCACACTTTTTGTTTGGTATGCCGTATGGTGGGGTTCATTTTTGTACGAATCCGATGTCAACCTCCTGTTTATCTATGCATCGTCCGTACCAAATTTCCATCACAGTTTTCTCTCAGCAACTACTCAAGGGAGATGCTTAAAATTTTAGCACACTCTTTGATTAGGCATGCAATTTGGTGGAATTCATTTTTGTACGAATTCCATGTCAACTTCCTGTTTATCCATGTGTTGCTTTGGTAGTTATGTTTTGTTACTGTGAATATTGACTTTCTGGATAAACTTTAATGATATTAAAAAAAATGAATCTTAAATGAAAAAAAAATCATAGTGATTACTATATTTCTTTCACTGAACTTGAGAGCATATATTCACAACAGAGTGAGGGTATTACTAATGAGCATTGGTTTACAGACTTCTTGTTTATTTTTCTATGCAACAGATATTTTGGATTTCCAATAGCAAAATATGGACACTGTCATTTCTTGTATAAAATGGAGGGGGGTACCCAACTCTTATCTGCAGCTCCTCCTATCCCACTGAAAAAATGTATGAAAATTTTACAGAATCTTTATTACATAGTGCCATTGTGCACCTTCTTTTTTCGTTTAGATAGGACATTATACACTTATCAACTGGTTGTGAGTGGGATAGCTCTTTTATCAAACCCGCGACAGGAACTATTCCCCGAGGGCTTGCCCGAGGGGAATCGTTCCTGTCAAGGGTTTGATGAAAGAGCTATCCCACTCACAACCAGTGGATAAGCGTTTTATTATACTGATGTATATCATAATTTCTGAGGGTTTGTATTACCTAATACTACAGTTTCATAGGCAAAACATGAAAAGAATAATTATAATAGTTTTGAGCAAGTATTTGGAATAAGATAACACTGCGGAATGAGCTGAAATCTTGATGACGTCACAATGCTACTGAAATCAGATGACATCATCAGTCTATAGACTGATTATAGGAAATCAAAATTGGCGGCAAAAATTGCATGAAAATTTTCCGAGGGGTGGATAGCAAAAACTATACCCCGGGGTATAGCTTTGCTATGCGTGGAAATTTTCAGACTATAAAAGATAGTTATTTTACCTTCTTAACTTTATATAGGAAACATTTTAACAGAAGTATAATAAATATTTTTGGACACTCCCATTCATTTTATAACTTGGGAGTAATGATTTCTTATCTGCATCTCCTTCCATACCATTGAATAAAATGTAATGAAAATTTCACAGAATCTTTATCACATAGTGCCATTGTGCACCTTTTATTCTTTTATTTTGATTGGACAAATACTTAGGGTTTCACATAGCAAAACCTGGACACGGCCATTCTTTCCATAATATCGGGGGTACCCATCTCTTATCTGCAGCTCTTCTATACCAATGAATGAAATATATGGAGATAACAAACAGTATTCAAGCTCAAAAGTCCATTAAACAGAGCAGAGCAAACACGGACCTCCAAACATCGTTTTAGAAATTGTACATACATAGAGCATGCTCTTGTGTATCGAATCAACTGAGAGATATATACCCCGTATGCAGGTGATGAAGGTATATTGCTGCATAAGTAAGGGAAGTTGACGATTGAAAAGTTAAAGTCATCACGTTTATCATAAAGCTTGGTTGTTAGATTACCATTAACGTCTTTTTCAAGTAAAATATCCAAATATGAAACAGATGTGGCAGACTCTGTGGTATCTTTTATCTCAAGTTCACCAGGATATATCGTATCGACATAAGAATGGAAATAGCCATTGTTAATTGACAATACGTCGTCGATATATCTAAATGTCGAGTTGAAGGCCACAGCAAGTGTTTTCTTCAATTAACGTACAAGATTTTGGACAAATTCTGCTTCATATGAATACAAAAAAAGGTCTGCTAATAACGGGACGCAATTGGTACCCATGGGAATTCCAATAGATTGTTGGAAGACCTGGTCTCCAAAAACCACATAGATATTGTCAATCAGAAACTCAAGCATCTTTTTAATGTCAACTTCAGAGTACTTGTGTGTACAATCAGAATGTTTTTTTACAAAATAATTTTGCAAATGACCAATGACAAGGTAAGTATATTTACGAGTTCCATTTTTATTGAAAAAGCAGCTGTCAATGATATCAAAAAGCCTGGACTTTAATTTATCGTGGGGAATGGTTGTGTATAAAGTTGAAAAGTCGTAAGTTTTAAAGCTGTTGATTTTGGTAAAATCTTGTGATTTCAAATTTTCCAAAAGTTCCTTGGAATTTTTAAGTATCCACATCTGATTTACACCACTTCTCGAACATATTGTAATCAGACTTTCACAGAATCTTTTTTAGCTTACCTCAACAAAGTTGTGAATACACTCAATTTACTTCAGATGCTGGATTCGTGACTTGTTTTTAGATAAGTCCATTCCCAAGTAACTGCAAGCCCTATCAGATCAAAATTGCATAAATGTTGCATCTTGGGATGCACAGTTCTAGATTAGTAGTTGAATGTGGGACTTTGCCTTACTGATAGACAACATTTCTTGAGGTAAGCTTTGTAATCTCTTATTACCTATGTTTTCGAAGTACAATTGTGCACCTCCTATTTTATGTTCCAATTAGACAGATATTGGGGTTTCCAATTGCAAAACATGGAGTTTGCCAGCATATTCATATGGGAGCGGGAGCTACCGAATCATTTTGTGAGCTAAATGCTCAGAGTACCTCTTGTTTTAAAATGCCTAATCCGGAAAATGGTTTAATACAGACAATTTCTCTGAATAAGTGGTGTTAGGATTAGACAAGTTTTACTGTATTCTTAATATACATTAGAAAAATTAAAAAAAAAATGAATACTACATTTTTATGTATTAAAAAAATGCATTAAATGAGTAATTAAATTTGAGGAAGAAAGATATTTAATATTAATGAAAAATATAATATATGGCATGAACAAACTTTATTTTTAGCTCACCTTTATGAAGTCGAAATGAGGTTTATGCTATACCCCTGGCGTTGGCGTCCCGGTTAAAGTTTTAGGAGCAAGTCCATTCCCAAGTAACTATAAGCCCTACCTAGACCAAACTTGCATGGATGATGCATCTAGGGATGGACACTACCACAATTGCTTCGGATGCTGGATCTGACCTAGATTTTCCACATGAGTGACCAGGTTAAAGTTTTTGGAGCAAGTCCATTCCCAAGTAACTATAAGCCCTACCTAGACCAAACTTGCATGGATGATGCATCTAGGGTTGGACACTACCACACTTGCTTCGGATGCTGGATCTGACCTAGATTTTCCACATGAGTAAATTTTAGCCATATTTTAACCAAATTAGCATGGATGATGTATCTAGGGATGGATACTTCCAGACTTACCTTGGATTCTGAATCTGACCTACATTTTCCAGATGAGTGACCAGGGTAATTTTTTTGGAGTATCTATATAATATTATGGCCTGTTATGATTAAACTTGCATAGATGGTGCATCGAAGGATGAAAACTTCCAGACTTGCTTTAGATGTTGGAACTGACCAAAATTTTCTTGATTAGTAAACAGGTTTAAAGTTTTTTGAGCAGGTCTATTTCCAAGTAACTATAAGTCCTACTTAAACCAAACTTGCATGGATATCAATCTTGGGATGTACACTAACTAGAAAAAAAATATGATGTGAAATTTGCCTTACTTATAAATAACATTCGTCGAGGTGAACTTCATAATCTTTGATTACCTATGTTTTAAAGTATCTAGATCTTTAAAATTCAAATGAAATTTATTTATTTGAAGTCCAAGGTTTAAAGTTGAATTTCAATTAAACAACTGCATTTAAAATCCTTCTTCTTTGTTGTACAATGTTTCTCAATTGTTATCTAGATTGTTTATATATAAATAGTCTCCTTAAAAATTACAACAAATTTAAAAAAATTATATTGAAACATGTTTAAGTATTATATAGATTTATTAAGATCTTACTAACCACTAATTGTCCATTGTTCAGATTTTTTACCACTTATCCTCTATGATATGTTTTATTCAGATCTTATTGACCACTGATCCTCTATATTTTATTCTGATCTTATTGATAATTACTCTATGTTTTATTCAGATCTTATTTGACCACTACTCCTCTACAATATGTTTTATTCAGATCATATACCGTATAGTTTTCTTGGCCAGTGTAAAATTTGACTTTTTGGTTGCTCAAAGCTTAAGGTATACCAATAATTTTGGTGTAATTTATTTTAGCGGACACGTGCTAAAAATAGCCAAAATTAGCACCCTACTAAAATAACCCACTATACAGTATGACCACTGATCCTCTGTGTTTTATTCAGATCTTATTAACCACTTATCCTCTATGATATGTTTTATTCAGATTTTATTTGACCACTAATCCTCTATTATATGCATTTTCAGACTTTATTTGAGACTGAGGTTCAGGAAAAGGATTTTGATGAAGAACACATCTCAGGTCAAAAGGAACTTCTTAAAAAAGGAAACAAGAGAAATGCAGATCCAACAGTTTTCAAATCATATGAAAGTGGAAAGAATAAGATATACTTGGAATACAAAGAATGTGATCCATTTCAGGTTCAGTTCTTCTCTCTTAATAGGGCATAAGCACTGATTTACTCTAAACAATTTACTTTTAAAATTAATTTTGTGCTATGGTCAACTGGTCTGAATTAAAAATCATCTAGATGCAAACTCAAATATGTTCAACATTTTGTGTTACCTGAAGAGCTGAGTAATATTGTAGCCTTAGATGTTTTTATCATGCCCTTAACAAACCTCCTCAGGTTACTCTGTAGATGTTTTTGTCATGACCTAAACAAACTCCTTCAGGTAATCACTCTGTAGATGATGATTCATCATGCCTTTCACAAACTCCCTAAGGTTACCACTCTGTAGATGTTTTTATCATGCCCTAAACAAACTCCCTCTGGTTACCACTCAGGTTACCTCGCTGTAGATGTTTTATCAAGCTGTAAACAAACTCCCTCAGGTTATCACTCTTTAGATGTTTTATCATCCCTATACAAACTCTCTCAGGTTACCACTCTTTAGATGTTGTTTTATCATGCTGTAGACAAACTCCCTCAGGTTACCTCGCTGTAGATGTTTTATCATGCTGTAAACAAACTCCCTCAGGTTACCATTCTGTAGATGTTTTTATCATGCCCTTCACAAACTCCTTTAGGTCACCACTCTGTAAATGTTTTTATCATGCCATAAACAAACGACTCTGTAAATGTTTTATAATGCCCTTTAGAAACTACCTCAGGGGCCCGTTTCATCAAAGGTCGTACGCCAAGTCGTAGCGCTACGCCGGCGTAAAGTCGGGACTAGCACAAATATTTGCGTTTCATTAAATAGCGTATCTTTACACTGGACTAAAGTTAGGCCAATATTTTACGTGTAGTTATTCAGGTATACAAATCTAGAGTAAAGAAAGTAAAACAATGAAAATGACCTTGGACCCCTGTTAAAAATTTAAGTTAGTAGGTTAGTAGGAAGAACCATATTTATCAAGTTCAAGAATTGAAGGGAAGGACGAAGAGAACACCCCACCCCACCCCCGAAATAAGATTTACAGTTTTGGGAAAGAAAATTACGATATTTAGCTTGTCAACAAGTTTCTCAGATGGAAGTTTTGTTTACTGATGACCTACCCTCCCCCCTCCCTTGAAAAAAAATCACGGACCAGCCTGCGTCCAGAAAAAAGTTGTTAACGTTCAAAAGACTAGAAAGATTCTGGTTGATTTCGTATACATACTTGAAAGTCAATATATCCTGATATTGAATACTAATTAAAGATGATTTTACCTTAGTGACTAGGGGCAACAAATTTAGTCACTAGAAAGATTCTGAGAATCAGCTGTAAGAGAAACTTGACTCGGAAATGACTGTAATTTTACAATTATTACGCCCATGTATGACAATATATTAGTGTTTAAACAATGTATCATAAATGTCTGAAAAATTCAAAATGAAAATCAATGATACTTACCTTTCTTCATCGGGAAAAATAAAAAGAATCTGCATTTTAAAAAATAAATACTACACTTTTTAAGGAACAAACAGAATGGCGTACAAGGTACTGTCATAGAAAAAATGGGGAAAAAATCTTTATTTTTCCATAATAATGCATATTTTGTAATATTTAATCGATTCTTAATTATTCAGTAGTCAATCATATGCCCAGTTACATATGTACACAAGTACATAAAATTGTAACAGATTATCTCTCCCCCTACTCTCTCTCTTTCTCTCTTCCTTTATCAAAATCAAGGGGGGGGGGGGGGGTAATGTATATATTCCAAAATTTATATGTATATATTCCAAAATTAATACATTTGCAAGAACATTTATTTCTTTTCTCAGCCCTTTAATTTTGGAGTTTAATCAGATGGTATGTTGTAGGTAGTTAATATTTTATAATAATTAGATTTAAGTTGCATGTTTTCTAGAAGGTCCCTAAAAATTCATGTAAGTTTTCATTTAAGTGAATGTATATGTGTGTTGTTCTACAGACATTGTACACAATACGTATGTATGTTTTTTGTGCATGTGCAATGCGTTGTAAAGGACTTAGTCCTGAGACTAAGCGTATCGTTTACGACTAGTCTTACGCTACTTCGTGAAACTCTAATTACGCCCGACTAAATTCTGGCGTAAGCCTCGGAAGTACACCTAACTTAAGTCTTAAATTTACGACTTAATTATGATGAAACGGGCCCCAGGTAACCACTCTTCAGCTGTTTTAATCATGCCTTAAACAAACTTCCTCAGGTTACCACTCTTTAGATGTTGTTTTATCATGCTGTAGACAAACTCCCTCAGGTTATCTCGCCGTAGATGTTTTATCATGCTGTAAACAAACTCCCTCAGGTTATCACTCTTTAGATGTTTTATCATCCCTATACAAACTTTCTCAGGTTACCACTCTTTAGATGTTGTTTTATCATGCTGTAGACAAACTCCATCAGGTTACTTTGCTGTAGATGTTTTATCATGCTGTGAACAAACTCCCTCAGGTTATCTCGCCGTAGATGTTTTATCATGCTGTAAACCAACTCCCTCAGGTTACCACTCTTTAGATGTTTTATCATCCCTATACAAACTTTCTCAGGTTACCACTCTTTAGATGTTGTTTTATCATGCTCTAAACAAACTCCCTCAGGTTACCACTCTGTAGATATTGTTTTATCATGCTGTAGACAAACTCCCTTAGGTTACAATTCTGTAGGTATTGTTTTTTCATGCTGTAAACAAACGCCCTACGGTTACAACTCTGTAGATGTTTTAATAATGCCCTAAACAAACTCCCTCAGGTTACCACTCTTTAGATTATCTTTTTTTCATGCCCTTAACAAACTCCTGCAGGTTACCACTCTGTAGATGTTATTTTGTCATGCCCTAAACAACTTCCCCTCAGGTAACCATGCTGTAGATGTTGATTTATCATGCTGTAAACAAACTTCCTTAGGTTACCACGTTGTAGATGTTGATTTATAATGCTGTAAACAAACTCTCTCACGTTACCATGCTGTAGATGTTGTTTTGTCAGGGTACTTAATGCTACTTTTGTATGTGACACTTATTACAGTATAACACATTTGTGTTTGAGAACTTGTTAAGGAAGAAGTCTTCTCATATCTATTGTATTTATTAACTAAAGAATTAATGAGATTTTCACAGATTCAGAACTCATATCCCTAATTCCTCCTAAGATAAAATTTGATTGTCTTGTTTTATTAGCAAGGTCAGGTCAAGGTCACAATCTTTCTCTGTATATTCAAGGGGAAAAATGTTGTTGTCAATCATGTTATATCTACATGTATCTATTATGAAAAACTGTATGCTTTTCTTTATGCATAAGAAAAAAAATATGTATATGGTGTTTCAGGTAATACTTCCAAATTGAAATAAATATGAGGGCCGTTCAAAAACTACGCAGACTTGTTGCACAGAAAAAGTATTTGACGACATAATCAAGCAAAAAGACATACATTATATAAAAGAATCTTCACTTACATCAACATTTCATATCAAAATGTTGTAAATAATTTACAAATAATTTAATTGATATCGATTGTGGGTGATTTAACAGGACATATCATGAAGTCATGGCGCTGTATAATCGACGTCACAGGCCAAAAAAAATGTGGGCTTTCATTTTTTCAACATTTCCCTTAGTATCCACTCAGCATAACATCCATATACCATTTCTTGTCCAGCTTAAAAACTATAAAACTGGGTACAGCCCACTGATACATTTCCCATAGGCGACAATGTTAACGTTTTCTCACACAGCTCCCCCCTAATTTTCGTTGAATGATCGGACACCCCTCAAATGAAGCTGGTCAAATTCTCTCTCACTGGTTAAAATCTCGAGGTGGCATGTCAGATTCGTTTTCCGGCAAAATGCACATGTTCACAAAAACACCTGAAAAATGAAAGTAAAAGTAGGGTAATTCCCAAAGTCAGGGTATACACATAACAATTCCATTCCTTTCCTTTCAAAATTGACACAAAAATGAAATTGGTTTTGAACTTAGAATTTTCTCTTTTTTTTATATATATCAAGCATCTTTAGTTCAGAAGACCTACTTATTTTAACCTTCGCCATAAGCTGTCATACGAGGGCATCAGTGTTTCACAAACACATCTTGTTTCCTTAAGCGGGGGACACAAATTATCTAAATTAACTTGTTAATATTTCTCTCTAAAATTACTTTAAGACAAGCATCCTCGCAATACCAGGGGTCCTGAGTCAACTTGTTGCCCTTGGACCCCTGGCAAATTTCATTCGTTTTTTGGGGGGCTTGCTTCTTTCATTTAGATGCACCATTCAGATTAAAGCTTTCATAAATAGTTAAGTAATGTAAACAGAAAGGATTCAGTTGACACCTTAAATGCACGTGTTACAAGTTGTTTATCATAGAATGGCTTAATGTGATTGGTTGAGAGATAAGAAAAACAATCAGGATTTGTAACTTTTCCGAAAGGCATCGCTACATTCAGCCCATGAACTATTGAATGAAATTTGCCAGGGGTCCAACGGCAACGTGTTGACTCAGGGCCCTTGGCATTGCAAGGATATAAGACAAGAGTATTTTTTAAGCCATTGTCATTTTGGCAAATTCAAAGTCTCATTTCAAAAATTTAAAGAAACAACGGGGGGGGGGGGGTTGAGCTCGCTTACAGTACCTTTAATTAAGTATATTCTTAAACCTAAGACTCTAAAATCCTTGAAAAACATTTATTGATTTAAGGATGGGAACGAAATTCATTATTCTAAAGTAAATTTTAATAGCATTAAAACAATAAATGTGATATTTTCCTTTACTGTTGTTCTGCCAGGAGTATAGTTCCTCCTAGATCTTGACCTCAGTGGACTATTTCCTTGTCGTACAGTTATAAGAAGGAAAGAAAATCTTAATATAAAGGAAAGTTGTGTCATTTTTTGCTCAACCCATCTATTATGTTACATATTCCACCCGAATGGTTCGAATTCTGGTTTATCCAAAAGTACTTGAAGTTTAAAAAATAATAATTTAATTTTGCTTGTATTCTAGCCTCTGATTGGTTAATATCCAAAAAGGAACACAAATTATTTCTGTATAACCTGGTTTGGTATGGGGAAACACCCCCCTGACAACCAGCTGAATCATCTGTATCCATACAATCCTCTCATTTCCAGTCCTCGGGATTCATGGAAAATTCCAGATTTAATAAATGTTCCTTTAATTTCAAACAATAATTCGATCTTACCACATGTAAACAACCAACATGGCTGCTAGGCCAATGTATCAGTTTTTACCTCCCCTCGACTTCCGTTACTTCCGTTACTACGGTTGTATTATTGAGCGGCAAATTTGAACTAATAAAAAGTAACGAAATTTTACACCCATAGTTATTTAATAATTTTAAAATTAAATTATAAGGAATGACTCTAATTCTGTTTTATAATCCGCTTCGCGGATTATAAAGCGTAAACTGACCCAAACCAGGTTATACTCGAATAATTTGGCCAAGAATTAGAGTCATTCCTAAAATAATTATTGTATGGAAAATTTTAATCAACAGAAAATTTTAAAATGACTAGTACGGGTTTATCGTATGTGATAATAAAATGTTAATATAAGTGACAGGTATGCGAGGTATTTTAAAGATTTTGATAAATAGGAATCTTTTCTTTTAGATTTACAAATTGTATGTGTTACTTGCAGCCCAAAAAGAAAGTTCCAAAGATCACGGTAACTGCAGATGACGTCAGAGGCTTAGCTTTCCGTGCCGTGTACAGGGTAAGCCTATGGAACTTTACTAACAAGAATTGTTTAAAAAGGCCTTCCTGCATGACAGTTTACATGAATGATAATTGTTTAAGTACCCTGTTAAAGTTCATATTGAAACATATCCTTTTTAAACCAAAGTCTTGCAGTTCCTTCTGTTTCAGATTGAAATGAATCCAAACATCCAGAGTTGTGTGTGGGTGGCTTCTGGAGGACAAGCTGGAATTGTCCGGATCCATAATGTTGCTCAGCACTTAATTCCCACAGCTGTGCAAGATCTAAAGGATGTACGCAGTTCCCTGAATATTACATAAAAATAGATACGATCTATTTCAAGCTTTGCTGTGTCATAAATCAGGCCTATATAACCTTATTGAAATATTGCATGCTGTGATTTTATTCTCAACAGTGTCAAATAAAAAAAAATGAAAAACATTAATTTTCAGTCACAGATCTCTTAAGGCATTACAAATAAAGCAATCATTTTCTAGGTTCCACTTTTTTAATGCCCCTACCATGAAATGGCTAGGGTGTCTGATGTTTCGTTTCTGACTGTTACTGTATAGAGGGTTAATTTCACGGGTTGTAATTTTCACGTTTTTCTCTCCTCTGACACGATCGCGGTTTGTTGAATTCGCGGAATTGGTATATGATAAGTTACCTCCCTTGTCTTTATATGTTTAATCCATACCAAGCTAGAATGACATTAATCAGCGTCAGGCCCGTAGGAAGCAATTTCAGTTTGGGGGGGGGGGGGGCACTATCAACTACCAAAATTCCTTGACAAGCAAAAAAAAAAAAAGGTCATCAGCCGTTTTTATTGAGGGGGCACAAGCATATAGTAGCTAAGTTTTCTATAGTATTCTATATATTGGCAAAATTATTGGGGGAGGGGGCACGCCCCCCCCCCCCAGTTCCTACGGCCATGAGCGTCGTGTATTCACTTCACCAACCGCAGGGTATGTTTATATAAAATAGTTAGATTTAATAATTGATGACTATTTAAAACAAGTGCAGTTAATAAAAGTTCTACTATCTTTCCTATATGCTATTACATGAGTGCATGTACACCCTAATATCTTTCCGAAGGTATAATACATCGCGGCGAAAAAACTACTGGACGGTAAAAAATGTGTTAATGTAAGTCGACGAAATAATATAATTCCACATCTTCAGCAAGTTCGATAGTTATTTGAATGATTTATAAAAACCAAAATATCGATACAAACTAATACGCATGATAATGCAGGTAACAAATACACGTGGTAACATAGTTAAGCAAGGATAATCAAAACCCTTGACCCTCGTCTTTTGATAGAAGAAACATGTAACATTGGTTATTAAAACAGTTTTTTTTATCTGCTGATCTAAATTAAAGTAAAGCGTGATAATTAAAACAACTGAATAACAAGTACGACTCGTAATTACTGAAATGACCATGTACTGCACGTTTATATACCTAGCGTAGTTTATAATGCAGGTAATAAATTCACAAAGTAACGTTAGATACGCACGGGTAATCAAAACCCATGACCCATGTGTTTTGATTGGTGAGACATTTAGCGTTGTCTTGTAAAACAGCTTTTTTTTTTTACAATGATTACAGGTTATTATCTGCTGATTTGAATTAAAGTAAAATCCACCTGTGACGTCACTCCTTTGTTTGAGCGCTCCATTATTTTTCAGGAATGGAGAGTTGCAAATTACATTGAAAACGGAATTTGTTATGTTCTTATTCTCCTTCCCGTGCCTCTACCGAGGAAAGAACTTAGAAAGTTTTATTAAGTTTATTTTCAAATAAAGAAAATAAAAGTTCTAATCTTGAGAATCGAACCCGGTACCTTCACCTTCGAAGTCGGGTACTCATCTCACTGTGCTATCGAAGCTGTTCAATGTCAGTGTATTTAACTAACTTAAGTACATTTTTTCGCCTTACTTTCTATCTATATATAAATTAAATACTACTAATATGTTATGTATATTTACAGTGTATCTTATAAATATTCTTTATTATATATTAACGAACAATAAGAGGGTGGATTTTACGCGGGTTAATATACTCGTAGCGCTCCATTCCTTAAAAGCAATGGGCCTCGGCCCCTTCGGGGCCTCGGCTCCATTACTTTTAAGGAATGGAGCGCTACTCGTACATTAACCCTTACGTAAAGCATGATAATTAAAATAATTGAATGACAATTATTTCTCGTAATTACTGAATGACCATGTATACTGCATCTACATATATATACATGTACCTATCGTATCTATTCTCAAATTACCAAATATAGCATGGAGGTTATTGAAAACTTATTCACTGTTTCTTGAATTCACAGATTTATCAACACCGTGAATATAGCGAATATTAACACCGCGAGTTATTTTCCCCCTATACAGTATTCAATCTCATTATTTTCCAGACTTTTTAGGGTACCTGAGCCAAAGGTTCTAGTGAATCTTTCTGCTCAATGAGTGTCCAGTGTTCATCTGTTTTGGGTAAACTTTTCATATTTTGAATATCTTCTCAAGATCAATTGGACCAATTTTAACCAAATTTCCCACAAAGCATCTTTGGTTTAAGATTTGTTCAAATGAAAGGTTTCACCCTCTTTCAAGGGGAGATCATTTAGAAAAAGTGAAAATCAGATGGCCTCATTTAAAACTCTCAAGAACTAGGGGGCTAGAAAAGAGTCTTTCTCATTTTCAACATAAGGAACCTGCCATTTACCCCCAGGAAATATTTTCAAGACATTTGATGAACACAAATCACTGTTCCTGATTACTGAGTAATCAAACTTACTGACTAATTTGTTTATAAAGGGTGCCTCTTCCATAGTTTTGAATTTCATGGCCTTTGGATAGAGGTTCTGGTGTTAGGGCAGGGCTCTATTGATTATACAGCTCCACGTACTTTTAAGCTCACATTGTTTTCAGCACAAATTCAAGGTAACAATGCACAATGTGATATTGTGTAAAAAGACAACAAAAATATTTTAAAGGTGTTTTTTTATCATTTTATTTTGCCCTGTGTTTTCTTAAAAATGAAAGTGATGTAAAACATTAAAACTCGTGCTTTCTGAATCGTTGAAATTCCATGCAGAAAGATCATACAAATTATTTTTCTCACATGATCGACCTTCTAAATGCTAATTGTGACGTCATAAACTTGTGTATTTTCCCGTATTTTCTTAAAAAGATGCAGGACACCAATTTGCAATGGAATTTTCTTTCAGATAATATTGTCCACAGGCATCGCCCACAAAGATTTTGAGATATGTGATTTTTCAAAGAATTTTACATAACATATCCGAAAATAAAAGTGAGCGATGGCTGTGGACACTATTTTCTTAAGGAAAATAACCCTTGAAATGGGTCATTTTAAGGCTTTTTCTGTTTGAAATAGAGAAATGCATCAAATTAATCACGTCATATTTCCAGAATGGTACTCCTTCATGCCGTATTCTTTCCTGATTTATAACAGTCATATACTCAACTAATATTTAAGCCAGTTTCAAAACTTTTTGAAAACATTATTAGCTCACCCGAGCCGAGGCTCAAGTGAGCTTTTCTGATCACATTTTGTCCGGCGTCCATCTGACTGTAAACTTTTCACATTTTCAACTTTTTCTCAAGAACCACTGAGCCAATTTCAATCAAACTTGCCACAAAGTATCCTTTGGTGAATGGATTCAAGTTTGTTCAAATGAAGGGCCACGCCCTCTTTCAAGGGGGGATAATTAGGAATTAGTGAAAAAATAATGGCATCATTTAAAAATCCACTGGGCCAGGAAAGATGAAACTTATGAAGTATCCTCAGATAGTCTAGGTTCAAGTTTGTTCAAATCATGACCCCCGGAAAACGGTCACGTGACGGGCAAGGTGAATGGACGTGTTTACAACTTGCTCCGTTCTTCTGACAATATTATAGTGGATTATATCTATCTACTGTAATTTGGATTTGGTGTTTTTGAACCTTTTTAATCACACCTTATTTACGTATCTATATATGAGACTTGCGATGTGTGTTGAAATACTCTTTGTGTTTATTTTTGGATATCCGTCGGATTACGCCTATCGGTGAGTAGTACTCTGTAGCTATATTTACACTATGAGTGAACAGGAAAAACCAATGTTTAAACCTCTTTATATTAAGAACAAGGAACTACAATCAGAACAGAGTGAAAGGATTATAGATTATGAACTATATGAAGCTATTCGTGAAAAAATTGGGGACAAGATATATTGCATTCAATTGGAAAGAGATCTATGGCGAGTTTATCTCACGTGTATGGAGAGCCGTTCGAAACTTCTAGTTGAGGGGTTTGAGGTTAGAAATATTTCCGTTCAAGTTTATGACTCTAACCCGTATTCAACAGGCGCAAAAAATCTCAAAGACCAAGTACTCAAGGTCACTATCAATGGTCTACCCTTATGGCATTTTCAATTCTTAACGGGAACCAAATTACACTTGCCGGTAGGGGACTAGTATTGCTAATGCAATACGCAGCACAGTTAAGGTGCCAAATGGAAATTTTTTAGATAGAAAATACATTCTTTACAAGGATGGGCGTTTCTTTTTAGGATTTTACTATTATCGGACAAATGCAATGTGTGTGAAAACTACATGTAGAGGACGATTAGATTTCTTATTTAGACTTGTCACGTGATGTGGCAGTCACGTGATTTTAGCAAATATACCTGAAGTATTGAGGTCATCTATAAATTCTAATATTGCAAGGGCATAACCAAGTTAAAAATCTAAGTTTAACATATAATGTATTTTCAAAACTCTTTGTAGTTTGTGAAAAGTGCTGCGAACCTATATAAATTCCACTATCTAATTGCTAAAATTACATTTGTTAGACCGTATGTTGAATATTTTGCTGGTCAAGTACATTAAATATAGATATAATTAATTCATTTGCAAGATTTCAACAGGTTCGCAGCACTTTTCAAATATCTTCATACTTCTTGAGTTTATGTGTAAAAGCTTGTCATAATTCATTGAGGGCATGCCCTTGCAATATATCGATTTATTACGACCCTTCTAATACCCTTCAATGAATCTGCATACAAATATACGACAGTATCGCTTGTCTAGGGAATGTACGGGAAATATATGAATAAAATCATAAAATAGACATCGCATCCAAGTTAATGGCCTCTTATATATCTACAATTTATATTTTATTTCATTACAAAATACATTTTTCATTGTATAAATATAACTTGATCCGCCTCTCACTGCATACAAACTGCGTCAAATTTTACGATATGACGTCACATTGACAAGTGCATTGCGATCAATGAATTGTTGATATATTGCTGTGTGGGATTTAACCAACGACAAAAATGCATGCACTAGTTAGTATTGATGTAGTTTAAAGCTATTCAACAGTTTAAAATAGCAAATGCTGAATAACTTTGACGTTACTATCAAAAGCGATC